TGCGGATGGCAGGCTTGCAGGCTATACCCTTTGGTTGGTTGATGATGCATGGAGGGGATTGTAACCCTGGCAATGTAACCCTGACAATGAAACAATATATGATAGGATGAATGTAAAACTAATGTTCTCCCATGTAAAGTATCACATCATTCACAATAAAACATTAAAAAAAAAAGAGAACTAAGGACAAAGATCTAATTCTTTGTGTAAAGTTAATGGTGTGGCAGCAAAGAGAGATAAAGTGTGGGATAGAAGTCAAGGATATGTGCAAGGCTGAGATTATAAACTGGATACAGTCTTATCAAAATATGTCAACTAATGGATACCTTATAATTGCATGTAATAGAACTATCTTTTATTCCCTTTGAGAGTTGAATAATAAAAATTATGTTATGACAAACAAATTATAGACTTATGGTTATAAAACTTAAATTATGATGAATTAATATTTATTGCTCAATTTATAAACTGATTCAGATGTGTCAGAAAACCATTTGATATATCAGGAAATAAATTCAGGCTCAAGTACAGGCTCCGTACACAAGCTGTGGTTTTAGCCTCTGTTTGTGTTCTATATAGGAAAGTGAAGAACAAAGTTTTATATTAGCCAACACAAGAAACTTTGAGGTGTTTATGTTGTTGATGATAAGTGCAGTCAAGTCAGTTCTGGCTCATAGTGACCCTGTATAGAGTTTCTGAGTCTGTAAATCCTTTCAGGAGCAGAAAGTCTCATCTTTCTTCAACAGAGCAACTGGTGGGCTTGAGTCACCGACCTTGTCGTTTGCAGTCCAGTGTTTATCCTACACAGCCACTGTATTCCCAAAGGGAATGGTACTGGGTGAAAAAAGTCATCCTAAAAAAAGTTATATACTATATTATTTCATTTGTATATTATTTTTGAGACAACAAAGTTAGGGAGATGGAGAACAGATTAGAGAAGGAGGTAAGTGAGACTATAAAAGGAGAACATACAGGATTCTTGTCCAATCTCTTGACTGTGATAATGGTCACATGAATCTACCGTGTGCAAAAAAACCAACCATACTTCCCACAATACTCTCTACTTCTTCTCTGGGTACAATACTTGATTGCGATGACCACACAGAACTCAAACACCATACTCACAGTTATGGGGTTTATTAGGAAAATAACAAGGTAGAATACAGGGTCAGGAATATCCAGTGCACTGTTCTACTCAGTACAGCCTCTTCTCCTTCATACCTTCAGGTATGGTTCTCTCTGCTCCTTGCCCCATTGGCCCATCTCTGCCATGCTCTAACAATGTTATATAGCTCTTGACCACTGCTGATAAAGGCCCAAAGTACACTCCATCTACAATAAGCCTCAACCCAAAAGTTCTTAGCTCTATCTCCATGGGTCAGCAATCCTAGATCACCAATTAAGTACCTGTAGGCACCCCACTCCACAAGCAAACCTCCTGCCCAAAGGCACTCAGCTTTACTTGATCTATGTGCTGGAAAGCCCACCACCTTGTCTGGTAATCTGGCTTTTGGTTCTATTACTATTTCTTCTCTACCACTCCTCTACTACACCTCAAGCACCACAGCTTTCTGTCCCTGGGTTGCAGGGGTTCACTATGCAGAAATCTCAAGGTCCAGAGGAAACACTCCAATCCTGCTTCTTCTCCATTGATGGTAATGAGATTCACCACCTGTGCTTCCATGATTTTTGGGGTTGTAGAGGCTGATTTTGTACTCAGCAGGATGGTATAATTGACCAATCACAATTAGTCCTGTTACCAATCACTTACAACTGAATCATACAATCTGACAGTACTTCCCCCACAATTTTTTACCCAGACCCATCAGAAGAAGAAAAAAAAAAAGTGGTTTGGTGTGAGTTTATAGCTAGAAGAGACATTAAATAATTTATTGCACCATACTATGCAATAAAATTGCATAAATCTAAACACACACAGGAGTCCTGGTGTGGTGCTGTGGGTTAATGCAACAGACTGCAAAGCCATTTGAACTGTTAGGTCAGTGGTTCAAGCTCACCAACGGCTCCTTGAAAACCCTATACAGGGGAGAGACAAACAAGATGGCGGATTGGGTGGACGTATAGCAGAAAGCTCCACCAACAACAACACAGAATACCCGACCAAGCAGTTTCAGGGGATGGTCCCAGAACTCTGAACCACATATAAAGGAATACTTAGAAGGTTGGAAGGCTCACAGCTGGGGGAATTTGT